TATGCGTAAATAATTTTAAAACTATTGGAATTTTTATAGAATTCTGTAATTTTAGGCCTGGCAACATTAGTTAGAGATTAATTCCTCATTATTCACCGTAACTAAACTTTTCATTCTGATGTTTCATAAGTACGTTCTTTTTGTTTTAAGTTTTCCCAAAATTTAAATTTTACCCTCCAAAAAATTTACTAAGTCTGTCAGAATCAGTCATGTCTGTTGATGATTCTTTATCTTGCTGATGCTGATGATCCAGTTTGATTCAGTATCATATATAATTTGAAATCCAAAACACAGACCACAAATGTTTGTTTCTTTGAACAGAAATTTCTGAGGAAATTTTTTGTTTCTTAATACATTGCTTAACTTTAATGAAAACATTTTTTGATTCCAATGTTTTCGGATTTAATATTACAATATTATCCGTTAGGCTAGGTTAAAACACTTCCCAGATATTTAAATTTTGATAATTCATTTTAGTATCTCCAAAGTCAAATCGATTATAAAACCCTGCAAAATATTTTAAATGTCCATATTTCTGATAAAATGGTAGTCTTTTATTATATATTATCAAATTTTTGTAACCACAGATCATTCTGTATCATTAAAAAGTCATTTCCATTTACGATTACTTCCCTTGCATTATTTTTTTCTTGTATATATAAATTTTAAAATATAAAATATAATCTTGCGAAGAACAAAATAAAGATAACCTTCTTTTTATATAAAAAAAATAAATTTGTATAAACTTTACTTTTAAATATGGAAATTTCTATCGAGTTGCTATTTTTCGAGTTGTTTTTTTTTGTTTGTTTTTTTCAAAATAATTTATTTTTTAGATTTTTTAATCATTTTCTTCTATTTTTAGACAGATCTTCTGTACATTTACGTTTTACAATTCTCTCCCTATTGTTCCCATGTTTATATTGAATTATTATTAGACACATCATTGTATTCGATTGTCTTGGAAGGGCTACTAACGACATTAGTTTTTTTAATTGTTCTGAAAACCCAGTTTAAAGCATCAACTAGATCTTTTTTTGGGATTAACAATAGCATCAATGTTGCTCATTCCTTCAAATTCTCAAAAGCAAAAGTGAATTTATAAAAAAAAAAAATCTTTAAACGACGCGTTTCGCCGAACATCTGTACAGTAAAGTTCTGTTCACCTGGTTAGAAAAAACAATGACCAAACTATTATTTTTTTCCCTTTAATTGGGCTTTTTTAAAAAAATTTGGTAACGGTCAATATTGCATTATTTTTCATAAACGTGCTTTTTGAGGCACTACATTGTCAGAAAATTTAAGACCGATAAACTTAAATTGTAAATTTAAACGCCAAAATATTTAAATTTCCAGCAAAAATTAGATTCCAGACGGCACTTGTATTTATTTGTTGGTATATAAAAGAAAAATTATATATAAAAAAATGCTCACGTAATATATTCAATGACTTTTAACGCCTCAAGTCCCTAGTAGAAACCTTTTCATTTTTTGCATCAAACCACGAAAAAATTACCTGTAAATAGTTCAACCCTGCAAAAAAAAAAACATTTCTACGATTTTTAACCTCTTAAAAAAAATTAGTTATAGTTTGCAATCCCAATTATAAGCCCATAAATCAAGAAAATTCCTAAATAAAATTTCACACTGTATATATTTTATTGTTGAAAGTTTTTTTTTTTTAATAAAAGAATTTTACTTTTATACAAAAAATATTGACCGTATACGATAAGGAATGTTTATGAATTTTTATAAATGAAAAATCTAAGCTTTTATTTTAGTTTTAATTTCAAGCCAATAAATTAACTTTAATTTTTCCAGTAAGCAAAATACCTTTCCTGTATTTCAAAAATATTGTCTGGAGGGGGTTTTCATTTTGAATTTGCTAAAATCGCTGATTTTAGCGCCATTTTCACGATGTAATTCACTTTATTAAAAATCTTTCAAAAATAAAATATACTTTTCTGAAACTTTATTTGAGCGAAAAATTTAATTAACCCGATTTAAAACAAATATTACTGACTCTAAGTTAGAATATCACAGAAATGCATTTTATTTTTAAACACGGTGGTAGCTGTTTTTATTTAAGGTGTTGACAAGTTGACAGCTTGAATGACAGGTGGAAGTTTATAATTTTTTTCTACGGTGTATTTATCTGTAAAAATTACTTGAGGAATATAACGTGAGCGCCTTTTTTATATAATTTTTAACTACTCAGAAATTTTTAAAATTTAGGAAAATATTCTCCGTAATTTAATGTCTTATTGACGTTTTATTGAATTTTTACTATAGTTATCGCTCTTATTTTCTGATAATGTCGTGTATGGTCGTCCGTATTTATAAAGATTGACATATTTATACACATACAAAAAAAAAAAAAAAATTCAAAATTCTTTTTAAAGTATTGGTGGTCACTAAATTGTAATAAGTTTTTCCATTTCTGTTTTTAGTAATTGTAGTTTTTACTTAAATATCAATATCACTTAACCAGGACAAATTAATACAGAATTTTAAAAGATTTAAAACTTTATAAATTATTATTGTAGAGGCCCCTTAGTTGGTGGGAACTCTCAATTTATATTTAACGCAAAATACCACAAAATATGAAACAATAAGAATAAACACAAAACGGTTTTATAACAACAGCGAGATTTATATTTGTATAATGATGTACAAGCATAGGGGTTACTTCCCTTTTACTGGATTTAAAGTTTGTACTAATGGAATACTTTTTTATCTGAACTCATAAAAGGTTGAATGAATTTGTCACTCAAAATGTTCACTGTGAGAGAGTTGAAAGAATTCTTTAAAGCTGAGAATATGTTGAGTAAACTTTTAGCTTTAAAAGAGTTGAAGGAGTGAATGTTCCGTAATGTTTGTAATTAAGTTTCCATTGCTTGTAGTTGAATATTCGTAATGTAATGTTCGTAATGAAGTTTGAAAAGTTTCGTAGGTACGTGTATGTGTGCGTGTGTGAATGTTTTTATAGCGTCCGCCAGCAAGGGATCGAGACGCCATCTCTTTTTTTTACAACTACATTTTAGTAGCGAGAGAAATCAAGGAAGAGGAAGAACGAACTCGTGCCTGGTATTTATAATCAACTTAATCACGTAACAGGCTCGAAAGGCATTGACAGATTTGGGGCGGAATTATTTTTTAGTCAGGTCAAGAACTAGGTCGATGTTATTCGGACGTAGTTGAGAAAATGATTTAAATATTAAGTGACCAATCAGAAGTTGAGGTTTTGTGAAAATATGTATGAAGCTGAATAAGCTCTGTGATTCGCTTTTTGTACAGATTTGCACAAAAATTGAGATTGATAAAAAAAAAAGTGGTAGCGTGATGCTAAATTATAATTAAAATTTTTAAAAAATGAAAACAATTCTTGTAAAAATTCATTATTTATCGAAATCTTTTTTCTTAAGACTTTAGTGTCCATAATATATCTTATTCAGAAAATGAATTCTAATTAAATAATATCTTAGTTTAAAAACTGCTGTTCTAATTAAATAATGTCTTAGTTTTATTGCATTTTTATTTTACGATTCAGAGCAGATTTTCGGTAACAGGGTGGCATATTTTACAAAAAGAATTCTAAAGAGGTCTGCTTTTAGCTAATATAAACATAAGGCTCTACGAAATTCGTAAAATTAAATAAGTGGGGGAAAAAGAAAATTCATAAAATTAAATAAATGGGGGCAACAGATGTAAAAATTTTCTAAAAAAAACATTTCTAAGATAATTTAATTCATTTGTGAATAAGTCTTGAAAGTTTAATTAAAATACAATTATTTGATTTTTACAAGAATTTCCAAATCAATGTTTTTTTCACCGCAAAAAAGATGCTAAAATTTCCCATACTAATATTTGAGCCCACCACTCCCAGATGACGCAAAAAATAAGTTTTAATCAAAATTTCGAACGTTCTAAAAAGATCAACAAATATAATTTAATAATAAAAAAAATCCTTTGATCCTTGCTGTTAATAATAACAAATATTTTAACGTTAACAATTGAATTGCATGAAAAACGAATTTAAAAATTTTAAATGATACTAAGACGGTTTCTTTGAAAAAGAAATTGCCAAAATGAAGCCAAACGGGTTTTAACACACACACACACACATATATATATATATATATATATATATATATATATATATATATATATATATGTGTGTGTGTGTATATATATATATATATATATATATGTGTGTGTGTGTGTGTGTGTGTGCGTGCGTGTGTGTTTTAAAACCCGTTTGGCTTCATTTCCAGATTCTTCATTTCCAGATTTCTAAGATCCGCTTAGGTGAAACCTGGGTAGGTTTGGCTGGCGGCTCACTAGGTTTGACTAGATCTGCTCTACGGTTGTATTGAGCTCTTTTTAGTTAGTTGTTTACTCGTGTCGGGGTTTTTTCTTTGGGCTTTGAACCTGTATCTGTGCAATTTTTTCGACAGACTTTCATGTTCCTGGCTCTTTCTTTTTTTAAAACCTTTTTTTCCTTCGAGATTGATTTGATTATTGGCAAATCAAAAATTCGAAGGTTTTTCGAGACGAGTATAGTTACCTATATATATATATATATATATATATATATATATATATATATATATATATAGTTAACCCGGATATAAGAGAGTTGTCGGGACCGGATAAGAAGTCTCTTATATCCGGGTTTCTCTTATATCCGGGTTTGATCTAATTTATATGCATTAACACAGATTCTAATTTGTGACCAGAGAAAATCTCTTATATCCGGGTTTCTCTTATATCCGGGTCTCTTATATCCGGGTCTCTTATATCCGGGTCTCTTATATCCGGGTTACACTGTATATATATATATATATATATATATATATATTAGCGAGAGGGGGAGTAGAGATGGGTTCATATCTTTCCAAGGGGTATCTACGCGTAATTGTATATAACGAACCCAACTGGAATTGGAACTCGGTTCTCTGATTAACAATTATGCATTTCACTAGCCGCACATTCAAGCTTATAACACCTGATATTCCTAAGCGGTGACTCATCTAGGTACTCATCGGGCTCGACGTTGCTTAACTTGGGTAATCGTATAGGAACCGTTGTTTCGACGTGATATTGTCGTAAACCATGGGGAAAATAACTTAAATGTAAGACAGAAAAAATACGTGAACATACTTTTCCTTACACAAACTGGAAACATGTAAAAATAGAAAAAAAGATTATTTATATTATTTACTAGCAGTAGAGCCCGGCGTTGCCTGGGGATGTAACAGTAAGAGATAGATCAAGTATCCACCATCATAAAGACTGAAAAATAAAATTGACAAAGATTATTGTTTAAGGTTGACAGACACGCATGTCTTAATTATTTTTTTTTTGTTTTTTTTTTTTTGTTTACGAATTGGTCAAACGCAAACTCAAACAAAAACATTGTTTTCAATCGTTATGCGTCTACCGATTGAATAGAATTTTATTATAAACAATTGTCTTGAAAATGGTATTTTTAAAGCATTCTGAATGTAAAAATAAAGAAAAAGTGTGCAAGACAATAAGAAACACTACCTGCTAAAAAAAAAGTAAAGTTTTGTTGAAATCAGTTGAAAAATGTAGGAAATCTGATCCCATATATAAATGAACACACACACACACACACACACACACACACACACACACACACACACACACACACACACACACAACCTGGGTTTTATAATAAGTATAACTCGATATGAGTTGTCCCCCTTTCATTCTCGCGATTCCCCTTAATCGTGATTTCAAATTGATTTCGTGCAAAAACAATTGTGTTTTCCCAATATTTGGCGCTGTTAGAACCACCGCAAGGTAATTTTATGTAGTCCTGTGAAGTTTTGTTGAAATCGGTTGAAAAATGTAGGAAATCCGGTCCAATATATAAACGTACAGACACACACACACACACACACACACACACACACACACACACACACACCCTCACACACACACACACACACAATCTGCGTTTTATAATAAGTAAGATAAATGAAAAAGTAGCTGTTACTTTAAAACTATTCCGATATCCTGTCGGGTAACCATATATATATATATATTCTTTGACTTTGGTAATATCTGGCCGTCGAAATCAACTAATTCATTGCCAACATTTTTATAATTAAAAATAAATAAATACGGTTAGGGAGAAGTCGGAAGAATGTAAATGAAAAATTTATTTCTGGAAAGAGAACACGCTAACAAACTATGGAAATGTGTTAGTTTCCTTCTTCCCGACCATGAAAAAGAAAGCTAGCTTACGTTACAAAACCTGTCTTTACTCACAACTTCGGTACGTTATCTTACAAAAGACCTACGCTTCAGGAATGTATGTTCTTAGTGGTACCTACCCGAAGAATGATCTCTGAAAAGATGGGTCATGTGATTCATGCCAAAAATTACCAGAGTTTTAAATAGGATTTTATTCCGATCATAAATTTTGCTCTAAGAAGAGTTCGTCTGTGGTAACCCCAATATATGCTGGGTCCTCCCTAAGAGATGCCAAATTAATTGTACTTAGTCTCGCCTCAGAAAGTAATAAAAGACTTTGGAAACTCGAGGTTTGACCTAGAAGATAACCTCAATGTTACGAAGTACATAATCGGGCATCAAAGAATGTCGGCATGTTCACCAACATAAACAGGAAGTGAACCTAACTGAATTTAGGATATATACACACGAGACAAGCTAGATGACAGGAAGTTATATAAACGCCCGACATATCTCTCACACACTCGCAAGAAGATCGAACGTTTGAAAAAATACTTGAAACCACATACCCTTGATGCGGCCGACGTTAGTTTGACGGAGTCCAGAAGTGAATACACAGTTATTTTATGCATAAAAAATTACCTTTTTATTCTTATCAGATGTTATTGTCATTATAAATGTTGAAAAACTATAACTCTTCGCTCACAGAGCCACTATTTTTTTTTTATTTCAGCCTAAGCAAGGTGATAAAGCCATTAAGACGCAAGGGGTTACTGAGGATGAAAGACAATGAGAGTGAAGGAAACCGGGAAAACGTAACCGAGGAGAAAGGACAATAAGAAGAACAGAATTTAAGGAAATACAAGATGACAATCAACGTGGCATTTAGATTTCTATAGTTTTCGGGTCATGTTTTACATTTAAAATAACTGAAAAATCTTGTTTAATCCTCTCCCCACTCTCTGTCTCTCTCTCTCACACACACACGCACACATCGTTATAGTAATATCGATTAGTATTGCCTAAGTTTTAATCAATAAAACATGACTTTAAGCATTTCCACCTATGAAGAATCAGCTATAATTTAATATTTTGAAGGTCGCCTTTTTTTTTCTTTTTCTTTTTTTTTGTGAGTGAAAAAAAAAAGCGCAGAGCACGATTAGGCTTCATCAGTAATGACGTGGCTCTGTGGTAATTTAGCTGAAAGTGTGCGGGAGAAGTTTTTGGGCGTTGTTTGTTTCACTCCTCTTAGAGAACCCTTTCACAAAAAGGTTAGTTAATAATAAGTGAAAAACACAACTCATAAGCGTATGTGAAAAGAACGCCGAGAACAAGAAGTTCTTCTATGCGTTTATTCGAGAATAAAAACATATACACATGTTGTTACATTTGTTAAACATTTTATGTGAACTTCAAAATATTAAATCGTAAATGAAAAGCATAGCTTTTTTTTCTCTCCTTGGTGTGTTCTCAACATTAACTATTCTTATTTCAGACTTTGTTCAAACAGCGTAATTTGTGTATGTTGATGACGTTTAGGTCGATCAATTCTCCAACCTTCTTCCGGTGTGTAATTTGTTAAGTAAATGAAGGATATACTTTTTTTTACCACATAAGATTATCCCTGATTCCAGTCTACAAACAAGCCGATTCGTTCCAGCAATGATACCATTTAAAGATAACATTCAAAGATACCCTTCATATACATCGACGGTACCATTCACGTGCTGTATAAATTATGATCACCTGAGTTTGTTGCGAGCAGTATGTAACGTCGTGTGTTTCTGTTGGGAAAAACACATGTTTTCTGAAATACCCACAATAAAAATGGCGGACTCAGTGAGTCCACGTGAATAAATGGAAAGAAGCAACAAGAACCAGTATATGTACAAAAAATGATAATATATTTACAAGAAAGGTATACAAGTGACAAAGACAATGATGTGTGTAACAAAAGAATGTGAAAACCTTTTTGGTCCAAAGGATGCGAAGTTAGTGAATGTGCGTACGTACGTGTGTTGTGTGAGTGTAGTATGTTCATGCGTTTCCCAATTTCCCGTGAGAGAATGACATTTTGAAATAAAAAGAGAGTGAGAAAAAATATCGCAGAGTATTTATAGCGCCTACGGCAATACCACGTTGAAACATCGGTTCTCGTTCGATCACTAAAGTTAATCAACGTCGGCCTGGTAACTACCTAGATAGCTGACGGCTTGGGAATATCAGGAGTCAGGGGCAGTTAGTTTGGATGTGCGGGTGGTGTAATGGATAACGGCTTATGTATCTTTGTAGATCTTACAAAAACTATCAAAATAAAAGGATCTTGAAGTGGAAATCTAAAAAATGTTGCACATGAAAGCATCAATAACTCCAGTTATGGTTGTGGCTCTGGGTTTGACTGGAAAATTTTCTGATAGACTCATTGAAGTAATCTCCCTTGTAGCACATGTCTTAATAAATACGAACAAATGTCCCCACAAGTAGAGTGCACACCTTACGATGGGCTTTATTAATGCAGAATGTGTGTGCTCTTAGGTTAAAAAATGTTCAGTGAAAATGTCATGATGCTATTTCTGATACGAGGTCTCTGGCTGGGACCCGGATGGAAATCAGTATACAACAGAAATCAAAGGAAACAAATAGTAAAACACCAATCGACTCCATCAACAAAGAAGCTGCACTCTTCAAGAAACAGCTTAATATACATGAAAGCCTACCCACAAAAACGAAGCGAATATCATTTATACCAAACGAGTAGAAAAGAAAGCAAAACAATTTGGCCAAATGAAATTAACAAAAACAAAAAACAAAAACAAAAAACTGGGAGAACAAGGCGTTGCCTAGTAAATAACTAAAAAGAACGAAAGAATTAGATAGAGACAAACAGAAAACACATCAGTGGCTGAGGAGCTCCGGATTGAAAGCTGAGACAGGATGCCTAATTATTGTAGCTCAAGACCAAAGACGCGCAACCAGATCCTATCACTGTCAAGGATGGAACTAACTTGAAATGCAGGATCTGCCGAAAATATGATGAAACTGTCGGCCATATTATCTCAACATGTCCGGAACCAGCAAAATATGAAGATACCCACAGACATAACAAGGTAGCGACAAATGTGCACTGGAAGATATGCAAGAAGCACAAAATGAAAACCACTGTGAGATGGTATGACCACCAACCAGACACAGTTAGCCAAAATAACGATGTAACTATCCTCTGGGACATGCCGATTCAAACTGACAAGGAAATAACAGCAAACAGACATGATATCATAAAAGACAAGAAATTCAGGAAGTGGATGCTTATTGACATAGAATTACCATCTGAGAGAAACACCTCCATGAAAATTATCGAGAAATTGTCTAAATACGAGGACCTGCAGATCGAGATTAACAGGGTGTGAGGAATGAAGACTGAGACTGTAGTACCAATAGTAATCAGAGAAATCGTGAGAAAAGGAATGGACAAATTTACTAACAATGTCCCAGGTAACATCAACATACAAGTTGCCCAGAAGATCGTCCTACTAGGAACATCCCATATATTAAGAAAAGTGTTATCAATTAGATGACAAGTCTTCTATAGGGCCTAAGGTCCATAGTTTGGACCTCGCTCTACAGGATACAAAGCAGGAAACATGCACAAATAATAATAATAATAATAATAATAATAGCAACTCAACACTCACCAGTTCCAGGTAGGTCGTTCAGAGGAATATCCACATATTGAATGTTCTGTTATTATGAGTAGATAGATACCTTAAGAAAGGCATGAAACTGTGGGATTACCCAACCTGTCTGCCAGGGAATTTCGCTTAACACTCGCTAGATGGTGTTGCTAAAAAGAAAAGGACACGAAGTTGTTTTATCTCTTCCCCATCTCT